TCCTGCAGAATCTGCTGCCGTAGCCACTCAGGTGTCCACTGGTCCTGCTGAGTGTTGAGGGTGGGGATGAGGTTGTCCCATGAGTTGTCGAGCACCGAGATGATCTTGGTGCACTGCTGCATCTGCGACACATTGCTGCCCGCCGCTGCCATCCTCGCATAGGTGTCCTTGATCTTGTCAAGGACCGGCTTTACATCATCGCCCGGTCGCATGGAGAGGGCAGCCAGCTCCTTCTCCAACACAATCACCATCGGCAGCGTGTTGGGCTGAATCACGTCGCGCAGTAGCTTCCACGCCTTTGGTCCGGAATCATCCAACTCCACCAAATCCTTGATGTGTTGGAACATATCGTTGTTGACCGATTGAAGGATTGGGTCGTACAGCACCGCACTCTTCTCAATCCACCGATCGCGGGCATCTCCTTCCTCCGGCATCTTCTCTTCACCCATCGCAAGTTTCAGCAGCTTGTAGCGCTTGAATGCACTCCGCATCCGCCCGCTCCATTCCTCATAGTTTGAGCCATCCAATGCCTCGATCTTGGATGGTGGCGGCTCATTTCTCTTCTCAGCTGCATCTCCACTCCCTTGACTCATTTCCTCTGCTCCCAAACACAGGTTCCAGCTCCCCCTTTGCTGTCCACACCGAAGTCCCACTCAAATTCCACAAGTGTCGGCGCCAACGAAATTTCGGCAGAGTTTCCCCTTAGCGGAAGTCACATGCAACCTCCAGAACTCCACTTAGGCACGCCCACAGGCCATGGTGGGTCTAGGAGGGTCTTCACACTTCATTAGACTCTCCACAAAGTCCTTAATCAGCTCTGATACCACTTGTTAGAGACTAAGGACGGAGTCTAGGAAGATTAAGGGCCGAGATATCTCAAAATCGTCAACTTCAATTCTGGACAGAATTGTCGACTTCACAAGAAACGTCGTCGACGAAAGGTCCACTGTTAGAATTCTTTCAAACTTGAGTATGTTGTAGCCCTTGACCGTGGCTATCTTTCCCAATTTGAATAGTATCAAAATATGGAGCATAACTCGAGTTATGAACTTCGGCGCACTAGGGGGTATGCTGCCGTAGAAAACGTAACTCAATCACAATTATCTCACAAGTTCACACAAGAAAGTTAGAGTAGCAATAGAACCAGGTAGGAGGGGATGAGAAGGACGAGAGGGAAGGTCCTGAAGGAGTCCCCAACCGAGGAAACCCCATACCACACAATTCCCCTCTCTATAGGCACCCCAACTTTGACATTTGTCACTTTCCCAACTCATGCCATCCACCTCACCCAACTTGGCCACACTTGCCAACCTGGTTTGGCTTCTCCCAACCACTTGGCATCGTCTACAGTGATGGTGACGAATTTCCCAACCCCCAAAAGACTGTACCCTATTTTGAGTTAACCCGCAAATTCCTATAGTCGCCGCATCTCAATCAAAACTTCGAACGATCATATCTTTCTCGTTCTTGCTTCGATCGCAGCGATTCTTGGTTCGTCGGGAAGCTCTTGAGCAGAGGAGTCACTTCAGATATCTGCTCAAGCCAAATAACATTCACACACACTCAGAAAATCCAAACAACACCAAACACAAATTCTTGCACACTCTCACACCACGCATGCAACACACGAACATATGATGGGAGGCAGACAGACGTGAATGCAAATGATAGCATCACATAACAAACACTACCCCCAGACGCCCCACACTGAGCAAACCACTCACGAAGCTGCTAGGGCGAAGGGGTCTCGCTCCGACGCTGCTGCTGCTGCCTCTGGCCACCGCCAGAACCTCCCCTCGGAACAGCTCCACCCCAACTGCCACCACTCCCACTGCTGCCACTACCGTCACCCCCACCGCTGCCACCACCGCCGCCACCAAAGCCCCCACTCCCACCGCTGCCACCACCTCCGCTACCTCCACCACCTCCACTGCCGCCCCCACCACCACCCCCGCTGCCACCGCCACCACTCCTGCCACTCTTGCCCTTGCTGCTGCGCAGCTTCCCACTAAGAGCAGAAGCAGCCCCGACATCCGCAGCACCAAGGATGTCAATAGCAGCAGCAGAGGCGTAGGAGGGGGCAAGGGGGGAAGGGGAACACCCCTCAAAGAAGGGTGTGCGAGGAGTGCCACGAGCAGCACCTACAGCGACTACACTAGTCTCAACTGCAAGGAGGTGCAGCTCGAGTAGGTCGACTGTGAGGTCGGTCGGGTCAAGTGCGAGAAAGTGGTCCCTGACAGCGCGAAGAGAGTCAGGTAGGCGAGTGACTATGAAGTAGAGAGTGATGTACATCGGGGGCGGGTTCCTGTCAAGGAACTCTGCTGGAATGGCAGCGCGGTAGCGAGCGTCGCTAGTGTGAAGGTGGGTAACGAGGTCCTCTACCGTGGCAAAGGCAGACAACTCGGGAAACAGGTAGGGCAGTAGAAGACGGCCTAGAGCAGCAGTGGCAGGGGAGGAGTAACAGGCGACTACAGCATCGTACAGTGCTTTAGCAGTCTTGTGCTGTCTGAAGTGAGCGCGTTCGGCTAACGGAAGGTGGTTGCGAACGGCTAAGCGAGCAGCAGCGTCACGGGTAAGCCACTGTGAGCGAGTCGCACTGTCAGCTGTGGAGGGAAGGGCGAGAGAGGCTCCAGACGTGTGGTCAAACAACGAAACGCTGTCTCCAGAATCGCTCGGTAGGTACAGCTGTAAGTCGTCGAGCCACGTATCAAACTGGATCGAACGGCCCTCATTATCAAAGGTGAGTACACTGAGAGGCGCCATAGCAGGCAGAGCAGGGCGGCGTGCGGCAAGCAGAGCAGCACGCAGAGCAAGGCAGGGCAGCGCACGGCTAGGGCGGCACAGCAGGGGCGGCTACAGGGGCAGGCAGTAGGGGGCGGCTGCAGGGACAACAGGGGCGGCCAGAGGGGCGGCGCACAGCAGGGGCGGCTGTAGGGGCGGGCTGCCAGAGGGCGGCTAGCGGGCTGCAAGGGGCGGCGAGCAGGCCGCAAGGGGCGGCGAGGGGGCTTCAAGGGGTGACAAGCGGGCTGTAAGGGGCGGCGAGCGGGCTGCAAGGGGCGGCAAGCGGGCTGCAAGGGGGCAGTGCGCAGGCTGCAAGAGGGCAGCGCGCGGGCTGCAAGGGGCGGCGAGCGGGCCGCAAGCGAGCGGCGGGCAGGCTGCATGGGCGGCGAGCGGGCCTCCAGCGGGCGGCGAGCGGGCGGCAAGGGCGGCGAGTGGGCCTTAAGGACGGCGAGCGGGCCGCAAGGGCGGCGCGCGGGCCGAAGGGCGGCAAGCGGGCCTCAGGCGGACGGCTAGGGGCGGCGCGCGGGCCGTCAGGGCGGCGAGCGGGCCGCAAGCAGGCCGCAAGCGCGCGGCGAGCTGGCTTCAGAGGCGGCGCACGGGCCGCAAGCGGGCGGCGAGCGGGCGGCTATGGCGGCGCACGGGCTGCAGGGGCGGCGCGCTGGCTGCAGGGGCGGCTCGCGGGCTGCTAGGGGCAACGCGACGGGCTGCTAGGGGCGGCGGGCCGTTACGGCATGGCTGTAGGGCAGCTAGTGGGGCAGCTGTGTGGTGGGCCCCTAAAAAAAAATTGGTCCTAGGGAAGGACCTGCTCTAAAACCATGTTAGAATCTAGAACGAGAAGGGATGAACTATGGAACAGTTGGGTACAAGTACTAACCCTAATTGTGTTACACCCCTTATGGGCTACCCCATTATAGCCTACACAAAGTAAGCAATATAACATTTTTGTTGGGCTGAGAAGCCCTTAGGATCTTTCAGGACTAAGATCAGGTGTTTGACGTAGAGATGTAATTGCGGAAGCGTTTTAATAAAAGTGTGCCTTGAACCACCTTGTACTGGTGTGTGAGAACAAGATAAGTTGAATAATAGCAAAGAGATACAAGCCTTTTATATGATTACAAGGAATATGAAAAGTTATACTTTAACTGTTTTGCTGTTGCGGTTCGATACAGTGCCGACTCGGGTAACCGCTCAGTAACGAGTCAGTTTTGTGTCCTTGCTGTCGCACTGTTCGTTTTGTCAGGTCAAAGGTCGGAGACCTTTGACCTTCGCGTAACCTCCGACGGTTGCCTTGGTTGACTCGAGTGCTTCTTCGCTGTAGTCAGTTCCGTTTCGTGTCTAAGCTTCGATACAATAGAAGCGTTTAAATCACTTGTTTCCAACAATTTTGACACCTAGGGTCTATTAGCCGAGTAAAAACGGTACCGGAACCAGCCCATTGTCCAAAGGTTGGCAAGGTTGGCAACATTTGTAATCGTTGCAAATGCCACAAAGCAAAGCAAGTTAAGAAGTGGGAGTGAGGCAATCAATCTTGAGTTAAGATGGCAGTGATAATTTATTCTCAGTTGAAGTTCCAAAATTTTGGTAGCGGTCATGTGTTTTTTAGTGTTACAGCGGCGTCGTCTCTGGCGAGTATAGAGCAAGCACCATCTCTCACCCTATCTTCTCGTGTCAATAGCAGCCCCGAGAGAGCAAACCATTTTGAAAGTGATCAAACGCTCTGTCGTGCGAATCATCACACCCTGAAACTCTCCGGAACTGAAGCAGCTTGGTCAGTAGCAAACTGTACAGCCGTTGCCTGTACTAAGGGTTCTAATATTAGTCGCCATTGCCCGTCTTCAAGGACACCTCATGAGCATGCACTCTTGTTTAAAGCGGCACAACTCGATTCCGCCAGACTGTGTGCGAAGGGAAGCCGTTTGCGTAGCCGAATTCTTTCGCCGAATCTAGACATTTCGCTGAACCTTTCACCGAGTTAAAGCCTCTTGCCGAAGAAATTCAGGCCGACAAGCACGGAGCTCCCTCGGGTTACCTCTCAACGCGAGTCCGAAAGGAGGTTTGGAAAGAAACGGAAGTCCAGCGAAAGCGCCGGAGGCTCGGAATTGCGCAAGGTCCCGGCGCACAACCGCTCTGAATCGAGCCTACAGCGCAGGCTCGGCATGAGTGGCGCAGGAATGCCCGACGCCGATAGCCGTACTGCAACAGATACGGCCTTCCCCGCAATGGACAATAATGCCTCGGGATTAAACCGCAAGAGGATACCGGCAGATATACCTCCCCTGCATCCCACCTCCGCCGCACCCGTCACTGCCACCATCGCCGCAGACCGCGGCTCAGAGTGCGGCGCGACAACTGCTTCTCCAGCTGACGGACATGCAGCCGCAGGTGGCGCCGCAATCGGCGGCGCTACGACTTGCGAATCTACCCAGTCGGACCCCCGTGTGTGGCGCAAGGTGCTGTATTTACGGCAGCCGTTCGACGACACGCACACGGACCCGCGCACGTTCCTCGCCGACATGCGCACCAACGCCGGCGTCGTCAAGCCGCGCTACTGGTCGCTCGTGCGCGACTCGTCCGTGCTCACTCTCCAGGTATAGCCTCCCCCTCCTCACCTCCCCCTACTCACCTCCCCTTCCTCACCTCCCCTTCCTCACCTCCCCCTCCTCACCTCCCTCTCCTCACCTCCCCCTCCCCACCTCCCCCTCCCCACCTCCCCCTCCCCACCTCCCCCTCCTCACCTCCCCCTCCCCACCTCCCCCTCCCCACCTCCCCCTCCCCACCTCCCCCTCCCCCTTCCGCCTCCCCCTCCGCCTCCCCCTCTCCCTTCCTCCCTCTCTCCCTCCCCCTCCCCCTCCACCTCCACCCCCCCCTCCCCCTTTCCCCCCCTCCCCCTCCCTCTTTCCCTCTCCCTCCCCCTCCCCCAAACCTCTTCCTCCCCCTCCCCCTCCTCCTCCCCCTCCCCCTCTCACCCTTCCCCACTCCCCCCCTTCCCCCTCCCACTCCCTCTCTGCCCGCGCTCTCTTCCTCCCTCCTCACAATCCAACATGTGTTCCGCACCACCCCTCCTTCCACCCCTTTCGTTCCCCTTGCTCCCACTCCCACATGGTACTCCTCTCCGCCCTGCTCTTCGTCTCTCTCTACCTTGATAATCCCTCGCACCCCACCGTTCCCAGATATTCCTCAGCTGTGCCCCATGTACCTTTCTCGTCTCTCACCCCCCCTCTAACCTGTGTCGTTTTCTTCGTATTTCCTTCCCTTTCCTTCTCCAAGTCCCACATGTTCCTCCCTCCCTCCTCTCCGCCCTGGTTGTCGTCTACCTCTTTCTCAACTCCCACCACCTCTCTCCCCTGGCTGTGTTCCTCCTCTGCCGGCGCACATATCGCGCATGTGCGCATGCTCCCAATCCTCCATTCCCAAATGTTCTTCCTCAACTTGCCCCACCCACCTCTCCATGCCGTGATGTTTCCCTCCCTCCCATTCCCAGATGTTCCTCGTTTCAGCCCTGCTGCTCGTCAATCTCTTTCTCGACTCTCACCGCCTCTCCTCCCACGTTCTCTTCACCTGCTCCACCTCATACATCACACATGCTCATATCCCCTCCCAATTCCCTGTTCTCAGATCAGATGTTCCTCGTATCTGCCCTGGTGGTCGTCTACTTCTTCCTCGACTCGCACCGTCTCTCTGCCCGAACACTCTTCCTGCTCGACTCGCTCTCCCATCACGCATACCCTCTATCCCCCCCCTTCCCCACCTCCTTTTTCCTCTCCCTCCTCCCTCCCATTCCCAGATGTTCCTCGTCTCTGCCCTGGTGGTCGTTTATTTCTTCCTCGACTCGCACCGCCTCTCCGCCCGCACTCTCTTCCTCCTCGACTCGCTCTCTCTCGCTGCCGGTGTGCTGCTCTCCTCCCTCGCTTCCCTGCACCTGCAGCGACACAAACACCTGCAGCAGCACTTGAAGGGGGAGCAGATGAAGCAGCAGCAGCAACAGCAGCAGCAACAGCAGAAGCAACAGCAGCAGCAGCAACCGCACCCATCTGCACTACAGGCCACCCCTCCTCCCTCCTCCACTCCCCCGTCCCCATCCCTGTCCCTCCCACCTCCCACGCTCCTCGATCTCCTCTCTGCCTCTCGCCTCCCTCGCCTCATCGTCGACTGCTCCATCTTTGTGTTTGGTCTCTACCTCCTCTCCCCGATCCTCCACACTCTCACTCAATCCATCAGCTCTGACACTGTAGCTTCCTGTACCACCCTCCTCTTCCTCCTACACCTCTTCTTCCACGATTACAATTACTCCACAGCAGCTACACTCTCCTTTTCCGGGAATTTATCGTTGATGTCCGCGATTTATGCGTCGGTGCTGCTGGCTTCTCGGTTAAGTACCACAGCGCAAGTATATGCGTTTATGTGGCTGGCTCTTAGTGTTTTCAGCCTGCTGCCGTCGCTGCTGCACCACTGGCGGCGCGCTAATCCGCAAACGCATCGCGTGCTTGTATGGGGGATGAAGGCGGTGGCTCTGGCGGTGCTGATGGCGTGGCATAAGGGGTTTGCAGTGGTGGTGGTGGTGGCGGCGGCAGCTGTAACCTACGTGTTTCCTCTTCTCTTTGTGTACATGCACAAGGAGAAACAGTTCATCAAAGGACCGTGGGATGAAGCCCAACCGGGCACAAGCAGCATCTGATGGACAGAGGCATTGCGGAAGCTGCAGCAGACCATTTACTCATTTACCGCAAGGGTCCTTCCGCTGATTCACTCTTTGTGTACATGCACAAGGAGAAACAGTTCATCAAGGGACCGTGGGATGAAGCCCAACGAGGCACAAGCAGCATCCGATACATTCTTCCTCTGTTCGGCTCTTTGTGTACATGCACAAGGAGAAGCAGTTTATCAAAGGCCCATGGGATGAAGCTCAGCCGGGGACAAGCAGCAGTTGATGGAGGCACTGTTGCATGGAAGCAGCACAGTCTGTAGGAACGGCGGGAACAAGCAGCAGTATTTCCTAGCTTGTGTACATTCATGCATTAACGTTTTGAGACGTCTCAAAACACTTCTTCAATCATTTCCTAGCTTGTGTACATTCATGCATTAACGAGGAAAAGCAGTTCATTAAAGGCCCATGGGATGAAGCCCAGCCGGGGACCAGCAGCAGCTGACAATAGGGGTGTGGCACAGTGGCATGGAAGCAGAAGCAGCAGAGGCGTTAAACTGCATGGGTCCTTCCCTTTGACTTTCTCTCTGCACACTTGCATAAGGAGGCTGTTTATTGAAGATTCAAGGTCCGTTCGTGGGATGCATGCAGGCCACCAGGGAAAAACAAGTAAATTGCAATATGCTCAACACCATGCTAGCATACGTACGAGAGAAAACCAGCTCAATGCATGGAAAAAGCATACGATACATGTACGGTAACATGCATTGATTTCTTGTCCTGTACATTTAATACTACACCCCATCGCTCTTCGCAACCGACTGGCAAAACGCCACTGCTTCTGCAACAGAGAGAAATAGCCACTCCTCACCCAACTCCTCCATAAACCCAGACAGTGCAAGCTTCCTTAGAACCACTGTGGCTGGGTTGGTCAGTACTAGCTGTACCTGGTGGCGGTGCAACATGCTAAGGAGATCTTGTAAAGCATGGATGGCTGTTGTGTCAAGGTCGGTTACTGACGTGCATTCCAACACCACATGCTGGCGTACGGCAATGAGAGAAAGGAAGAGAGAGAGGCGGGGGGGGGGAAGAAGAAGGGAATTGTGAGTGGAGGCCCACTATTCAGCATCCCTAATTGTGAAACGCTTACTTGTGAGGTACCCAAAAAATAGACCCATTAAGCCTCAGTACCACCTTCCTCTTTCCTAGAACCACAAATGCTTGAATGCTCAAACGCTCACTTGATCTCGACTCGCATGCGCACAACACACGGAAACATGCGCAAACGCGCATGTCCACATGCCCCCATGCCCACATGCCCACATGCCCCCATGCCCACATGCCCACATGCCCACATGCCCCCATGCTCACATGCCCACATGCCCACATGCTCACATGTCCCCATGCCCACATGCCCACATGCCCCCATGCCCACATGCCCACATGCCCACATCACCACAAGAACGGATGCACCCGTTTCTCACAGTGATTCTCTTCTCGTCGCCACGTGTACTCCTCTCGACCGCTCTCAACACTCGCTGCCGCACATAGCTCGCACTGGGGAAGAGCAGCGGTCCATCCACCCTCATCACCCACACCCCCTCCGCCTCCTCCGCATCCCCATATTGCTCCACACTTCGGTACACCCCTGTACCCTTTATAAGCCCCAGAGTCGGCATCTTCGGGCGCGCCACCTGTACGAAAAAACTCACCATTGAAACGAGAACGCCTATAAGGAGTCCGATTTCCATGGAGACAAAAAGAATCCCCAGAGCAGTCCCTAGAGTGATGAGAAAATCAACTTTGTCTGTTTTAAGGATAAGGGCCATGGCTGTAAAATCCACCAATCCCGCAACAGCAACTATGATGATTGCAGAGAGGGTGGCTGTAGGGAGGTATTGAAACGCGGGCGTGACTGCAACGAGCGTTACTAAAACGAGCGCCGACATAATCACGTTGGTCAGCGCGGTTTTCCCGCCGGAATTGTAATTGACAGCTGACCGCGAGAACGACCCAGTAACCACGTAAGTCGAGGAGAAGGAGCCTCCGATGTTGGCCATGCCAAGAGCGACCATCTCGCGGATACCATCCACTTTGTAACCCTCCAAAGTCGCAAACATCCTCGCAATCGCAGCTGCTTCTGCCAATGCAATCAGCGCCGCGACAATCCCTATGGACGCAGCGGCCGCGCAATCAGGCCCCGACAGCTGGAGCTGAGTCAGCGAGCCGAAGGAGGCGATGCCAGCTGGCAGGGGTTTGACGGTGGGGATGTTGTAGGGGGGCTTGTTGCCGCCGCCCAGGAGGTAGACGGCGAGGGAAGTGGCGGTGACTGCGAGGATCGGGCCGAGGCAGTTGAGGTAGAAGAGGGGCTTGCCGAGCCTGGGGTGGGGCTTGAAATGGTGTGCCTGCGCATGCATGTGTGGGGACGGGATGGATGGATGGGGAGTATTGAACATGGGAAGAGGGAGTTTTGGTGTTTTGGTGGGCAGTTGAGGTAGAAGATCGGCTTGATGAGCCTAGGGTGGGGCTTGAAATGGTGGGCCTGTGCATGCAGAAGCGAGGAGGAAAGTGGATGAGGGTATCACACACAGAGTGCGAGGAGGGAAAGGGATGGGAGTATCATACACAGAGGGCAAGGAGGGAAAGGGATGGGAGTATCATACACAGAGGGCAAGGAGGGAAAGGGATGGGAGTATCATACACAGAGGGCAAGGAGGGAAGGGGATGGGATGGAATTGGATGGGATGGGATAGGATGGGAATGTTGGAAGGCTACTCAAATAAAAAAGGCGGGGCGTACCAGGAAGCGGAGCGAGAGGAGGAAGAGAAGCACCGCCATGCCAATGACAAATGCACGCCAGTTGAACTGTGCAAGGAGGAGAGGGAGGGAAAGGAATGGGAGCGGAGGGGAGGGGAGGGGAAGGGAATGGAGGCACTCGTTATCCTAGCACCAGACTTGACAGACTCACCAAATATCCTAACTCACCAGGTGTGCCAAACTCACCAGGTGTGTCGGACTCACCAAGTGTGCCCGACTCACCAGGTGTGCCCGACTCACCAGGTGTGCCCGTCGCACCAGGTGTGCCCGACTCACCAGGTGTGCCCGACTCACCAGGTGTGCCCGACTCATCAGGTGTGCCAGACTCACCAGGTGTGCCCGACTCACCAGGTGTGCCCGACTCACCAGGTGTGCCGGGCTCACCAGGTGTGCTGGACTCACAAGGTGTGATGGACTCACCAGGTGTGCCGAACTCACCAGGTATGTCGGACTCACCAGGTGTGCCGGACTCACCAGGTGGGCCAGACTCACCAGGTGCGCCAGACTCACCAGGTGTGCCCGCCTCACCATGTGTGCTCGACTCACCAGGTGTGCCCGCCTCACCATGTGTGCCCGCCTCACCATGTGTGCTCGACTCACCATGTGTGCCCGCCTCACCATGTGTGCTCGACTCACCATGTGTGCCCGCCTCACCATGTGTGCCCGCCTCACCATGTGTGCCCGCCTCACCATGTGTGCCCGCCTCACCATGTGTGCTCGACTCACCATGTGTGCCCGCCTCACCATGTGTGCCCGCCTCACCATGTGTGCTCGACTCACCATGTGTGCCCGCCTCACCATGTGTGCTCGACTCACCAGGTCTGCCGGACTCACCAGGTCTGCCGGACTCACCAGGTCTGCCGGACTCACCAGGTCTGCCGGACTCACCAGGTCTGCCGGACTCACCAGGTCTGCCGGACTCACCAGGTCTGCCGGACTCACCAGGTGTGCCGGACTCACCAGGTGTGCCGGACTCACCAGGTGTGCCAGACTCACCAGGTGTGTTAGACTCACCACGTGTGTTAGACTCACCAGGTGTGTTGGACTCACCAGGTGTGTTAGACTCACCAGGTGTGCCAGACTCACCAGGTGTGCCAGACTCACCAGATACGTGTTGCTGAACACATAGTCCAACACCGACTGCACGTTGGCTTTCGTGGTGAAGGTCGCGTATCCCAGCAGCCCCTTGAGCTGCTGCAGCCCAATCGTCACCGCCGCTCCCCCCATGAACCCCACAACCACCGGGTGGCACAGCAGATCCACCACAAACCCCAGGCGCAGCAGCCCCATGGCGAGCTGAAACACCCCCGCGAAGAACGTGGAGGTGAAGGCGAGGCGGAGGTACTGGGAGGGCTGGGACTCGGGGTTGTAGTGCGAGGAGAGGAGCTCTCCCATGAGGAGCGAGACGATGGCGACTGGTGCTATGGCCATGTGCCGCGATGTGCCGAATATGGCATAGACAGTTGGGGGAATGAAGCTGCCGTCTGGTTTGAAGGAGGGGGAGTTGGAAGAGGAAGGGGAGAAAACAAGGGGGAGCGCAGGGATAATGTGGAGGGAAAGAGGGCAGGATTGAGGGGATGGGGGCGTGACTATTCGAGGGGCAACATGGTGGTGGTGGGTGGAGAGGAGAGGAGGTCTAACATTAGCAGCGATACGATGGCAACTGGCGCTATGGCCATGTGGCGGGAAGTGCCGAATATGGCATAGACGGTTGGCGGGATGAAGCTGCTGTCTGGTTGGCTTGTGGTGGAGGGGGGAAGGGGGGAGGGATGTGGGGGGGAACCCAGGGGTGGTAGAGTCCGATATTCGAGAAGAAGAAGAGAGAAAAAAATTGGTGACAGAAGAGGGGGGCTTCGTAGACTAACAAAATCACAATCCTGGACTTTTAGCAAGGAAAAGATAGCTTTCATTTTCTTGACTCGAGGCACAACAGGTGTTGGTCTGCACTCTCAGACTTCCCAGTCTGCACTTTTCAATTTCCTAGTCCGACTCAAGGGTCACCTCACGCTCTCACAAGCTGGAGGGATTACGTGACGTCCTTAGACCTCTGAGTCTCCTACAAGGTCTAGAATAGCTCCACGGTACAACCGTGGGTTTGGGTTATGTGATTTGAGGTTTACTCGGTTGCAAGGGCGAAGAGTGCAACTGAAAAAAACGATTTTCGCCGCAGCAGTGAATAAGCAAGGGGAGGTGAGCGGCAGGGGAGAGGACGAGGGAATGACGTACAGAGGCCGTTGATTGGAGGCACGTGGGCCAGTTGCGCGTATCCCAGGTCCTGCAGGGAGGAGAGGAGGGACGGAGGGGGGGAGTGGTCAAGTGACACACTAGTAGTACTAGGAGCCCCTTCGCCAGGCTACTACCACCAGACCAAGCACTCAGCGTTCAAAAAGGAGGCGGCTAGCAGTTAGTGTCTGACAGACCAAACGGTTAGTGCGTGACCAAGCGGTTAGCGGTTAGCGTCGTCTGACCGCAGACGGTTAGTGTGTGACCTGGGGAATGGCGAGACTAGTGATGGTGAAGCCGGCGACCACGTCACCCGGGAGCCACGTCAGCTTGTACTCCGACAGCCACTGCAGGATCGGGAACACGTGGAAGAGCGCGCGCCTGACGCGCTCCAGATAAGATCCGCACCCTTCGCTTCGAAATCCGATCCCGGATCCGCTCCGCAATTCGCGCCGGGATTCGCGCGACGGGCCGTCATGGTGGTCTAACAAGTCGTCAATGTCTAGGAGCGACTTGATGGGAGCGACGGCGTCGACGAGCTCGTCTCTAAGGCTCGCAGGTGGGATGACGACTCGCTGCTGCGACTCTCGCTGCTGCGACTCTCTGCGCTGCTGCGAATCTCGCTGATGCGGCTGTTCGAGTTCGATGCTCTTGGCGTCATCCTTCGCCAGCGTTACAAATTCTGGCGAATTTTCGTGACGAATCGCTCCCATCTCGCAGCAGCCACGGTGGCGGCTCCCGGTCGCCTCATCCCCGACATGGTCATCCCCGTTAGAAGCCATACACCGTTAGAAGTTTTACAGAGAGTAGAAGCTTGACTACTAACGCGTTCCAAGAACTGTCCTACCTATTAGTAGCAAGTACGACGGAGTCCGTGGCATTGCGACACGTGACGAGATTAATATACACGGAGGTTCTGAGGCCACTGAAGCGAAGGCGGCGCGAGAAGGGCGACGGAGCACCGAGCACCGAGCACCGGGCTGTGTGACGGAGGAGAGGAGCGAGAGCACGGGCCGAATTGTGCGGACGAGATCGCTGGATGAGATGGGAAAGGGCCGACGACGACACAGCGGCGACGACATTTGGCGCGACAAGGCCGCGAAATCTCATCCTAAGACAGCGGCCTGTCTAAGACATCCCCACGACGCCCACAGGCCACTGTATGCAAACGCGTTGGCTTTCGAGTGGACATAAAAGGCTTTACGAAGGTCAGGATGACTTATGTGATTGCTGGTGGCCGTCGAAAAGGGTGCCTGCATGGAGAAATTAGAGGCATTATGAATCGCCTCACAAGTGGATGAAGAAAAGCCCGAAGCCTTATCCATGGCTGAAATGCAGCCCTGCCTTTTACTGCCGAAATGTATCTGTCGTTTCAGAGTCCTGAAACAACATCCTTGTAGTGCTTGCATTACAATGAGTAGCTACGATACGACTGGAACAGAAATGACCTCTCGGGGGAACGACGACGACTCTTCGGGTGTGTTGAGTGACTTCGTGCGAACACAGAGGCCAGGTAGCAAGTGGAATGTGTGAAACAACACGACACACACACGCGAACAACGGGAGTTGCCCGAAAACAAAAGCCCCAACAAAGCACCAAACTGCCACCGGCACTTAGCGACGGAAACCGGCCAAAAGCAACGGCCAGGGCATTCTTGAGATTTTTCAAAAGTTGCCCTGAGGGCTCAGGATGCCCAAAATCCTAGCACAGGCCCTGGAAAAGACCCCCCTCACTGGTGTGAGAAGAATGCATGGCTGACGTGAGCCGGCGGCCCAAATTGTTCATGCTTTTAAAAGTTGTCCGAAGGGAGTTTTTCTGGTGTGGGCTTTGGCGAGAGTTTCCAATTTCGTATAGGTTCGTGTTTTTCGCGAGACCTAGCCAACCCTCGGTTTTCCACCTAGTGAGTGAATCTGTCTTCGAAAGTCCCAAATTGCAAGTGCGTGACTTTCAAAAGCTTAGACACTCAACTTCGTCAAGTTTTTAAAACTTGACCCTCGCGGTCCGCAATTTGGGATGCGGGCTTTAATATGGAGCACATGGTGTTGGCCTTGTAAAATTAGAGAGGGTCTGTGGAGACGAGAGCCTGGAATATGGATGACAAACCTTGTTTGTTTAACTCAAGCCAGCTGCTGGAGTAAAACTCATGACTAAAGTCAGGGTTTTTATCAGTAGTAGGCTAAATATTCCCTAATCCACATTCCCTAATATCACAAACCTTCAAGGTACCCTGACTACTGCCGGAATGCATATCAGTTCTATCAATGTCAATAGGTACCAGCAGGATCGAAGTAACTTGGGACAACTACGTGCATCCTCAACCCCAGACCAGAAGCTTCCATTGCCTCTCAAACTCTTGATGTCACACCTGCTCCAGTTTCACCTGATTCTGTTACAGCAGCTACTGCTACAGCTGCTCCGGTTACGGCCGTTCCTGCTACAGCTGTCCCTGCTTCAGCCGACCCCTCTAGATCTGTACTCGTTACAGATGTCCCTGATACAGCTGCATCTGTCACCGCTGCACCTGTGACCCCTGCTGCTGCTCCAACCGCTCCAGACTGAACCACTCTTGCTGCTTCTTCCCCCCCTCCTGCCATTCTCCTCCTCTCACCAGCCGTCCCTGGCCACGGAATGATGGACCCAAACAGAAAGTGCTGCATTATAGGCACCTTCTCCAGCACCTCCATTCTGTACCTTTCACGCATTCCGCTGTTCACCTTGTTCCAATTCGGTACACCGCTTATGTCGTTGATCATGGGCAAGTGCTCCGCTAAAGGACCCTTCTTCACCTTCTTAACGAATACCATGCTGGAGATATCAAGATACTCCTCCGCGAAATTCTCCAAAATGTCTGGATTAAGGATCAACTTGGGATGGAGGTGTTTTTTTACCTGACCGACCAAATGTTTCCCTGGTGCCGAAGCTGAGAAAGCTCTGCATTGCCCCCTGGAACTGGAAAGCATTCTCGCGAATCTAGATGATGTTGGTGGGAGAAGAATGATTGTTCTCAATCTTGTCTTTGCTCCAAACTTCCAAGCACCTGGAGGAGTTGATAAGAGGGTGTGAATGGACGGGGCCGCCTGGAGTAAATATTAGGAAGCATTTAGGATCTGTAACGCTTGGGGGCCGGGTCAAAGTGTTTTGAGACGTCTCAAAACACTTCTTCAATCACGGGGCCGGGTCAAACAGCAGAAGCCGGGTCAAACAGCAGAAGCCGGGTCAAACAGCAGAAGCTTCAGAAGCGTCCGTCTTGTCTTCAAGCTGCGTGCCTGGTGGCATGGCATGACTGGATGTCTGAACTGGAGTGAGCCGTCCACGGTTCTGTATACTGCAAAATGGGTGGTCACGATTGGGACGGCACATGCAATGGGAGAAAAACATACTTACAAGGGGCTTAGACAGAGAACCTTGCACCAAATATAACTGTGTTCCCTTGCTATAGTCACATTACAGAACATCCTCACGTTGTGCACATTCACTTGTGTACTCTCACTACACTCACCAGTACCACTAGATGTGACAATGTGGAGATACCGACATTATTTCCATCGACTGTGACAATATTTCGATATATTTTGTGTCCAGTCACAGGTACCACAAGATGTGATGTCATCAATGTACAATATGTACCTCTATCAGTGAGAATGTGGAAATTTACATGACAAGATGAAGGGAACCAGATCTGATAATCTGGAAGCCAGATGTGATATTTCAGAGACCAGATGACAACACTTCACCTCGGTGATGTCGATTTGATCTCGCACGAACAGCAGGTCACCATCGATGGCAGCAAGGCTGCTTGTGGCATTCTCCTCATTGCGCGCGAGCAAAGCATTCTCCTCACGGGTGAGATTTGGGTGAGGTGGAGTTGGGGTGGAATTGGGAGACGGCGAGTGGACTGACCACAAGCACATGAGAAGCAAACAGTAAATCGATCGAATCCCACTTTGAAAGCGCCATCCCAAGTGAATACGATCATGGCATGCTGACATCATCATGGCATGATGCTGACATCATCAAAGAGTGCACTACACTCCCACCCCATCATCGCCATGTGATTATCTCTCCAGGTTCTTTAGGAGGAGCAATTCCATCGGCACATCGAAACCTCTCCTTCCATCGCCCGTGCGCAATAATGCTGCCATAAGATCAAACAACATGCTGCTGACATCATGCTGACGTCATTGAAAGAGTCGATCATCGCGTTCGCCCGCCTGTGACAGCATCATGACGTCAAGCATACACAGGCACACCGAGTCAGCATCCTCGTAATAAAAGAGTGCTTTTGAGATGTCTCAAAAGCACACCGAGTATGCATCCTCCACGCCCGCATGCTTCACCTACCACCCTTGCATGGCGTCGGAAGAGTGAGCCATCACGTTCGCATCGCACCCATACACAGGCACACCGAGAGTACGCATGCGCTCACCGACCACATGCCCGCATGCTTCACCGACCACCCTTGCATTGCATAGCATGTTGCACGCACTCACTCACATACATGTGCGTGTTTTCTTCCCTGCTAGTTTCCGAGCTCTCCTTTGTTTTGTGCTGCACATGCCAACTCCACATGATGGCACCACATGTTCTTATCATGCTGACATCATGCTGACCCACACTCACCTCATCAAAGATGTATACTACCATCATATTCGCCCCCAGCCACAGGCACACCACATCGCACGTTTTCCCTGCTTGTTTTCCCTTCACACCTCGCTGCGTGCACTCACACACACATGTGCGATGGACCTCATCGAAGGGGTATTCGACCATGACATTCGGCCCCAGCCACAGGCACACCGAGTCCGCTTCCTTCACTTCACACTTGCGTCGTGCTGCATCCACTCATACACGTGAGTGAGTGCATTCCACACAGTGACGTCATGCTGACCTCATCAAAGGGGTATTCGACCATGACATTGGCCCCCAGCCACAGGCACACCGAGTCCGCATCCTTCACGTCTGCTCGGGCGAACACCCCATTAGCCAGCACATAGTCCAGCCGCACTTGCTGCCAGTACGAACAGAGGGGAGGAGGGGAAGGAGCAGAAGGGAAACTGGGAGTGAAGAAGTTAGCCCTTGGCTATAAGCATAGGCATCTTTCACGCCTGCTCGAACAAACACACTGTCCGCACTTGCTGCCAGCAGGGTTCAGAAGGAGAGATGAGGGGAAGTCACAGGCACAGGCATAGGCATAGGCATAGGCATAGGCATAGGCATAGGCATAGGCATTCTTCACGTCTGCTCGGACAAACGAACACCCTGTCGGCCAACACAAGCCAACACCTAGTCCAGCCGCACTTGCTGCGAGCAGGAGGAGAGGGGGAAGGGGAACTGAAGAAGAGGGAAAGTACGGAAGTTCACGTATGAAGCATAAGCACCCTTCACGTCTGCACAGGCAAACACCCCATCGGCCAGCACATAGTCCAAACGCATTTTCTGCCATCATGAGCATAGGGGAAGAGAAGGTGTGACCTCTAAGCATCTTTCACGTCTGCTCGCGCAAACACACTGTCCACAACACATAGTCCAGCGGCACGTGCTGCCAGCAGGATCCAGGAGGAGAGATGAGGGGAAGGGAAGAGAAGAAGTTAACCCTTACGCCATAAGCACCCTTCACGCCTGCACTCTCAAGCATCTCATCGGCCCATACATAGTGCAGCCGCACTTGCTGTTAGCACGAGAGGGGAGGGGAGGAGGGGAAGAAGTGAACTCAGTCGACTGTGTTACATTGAGCGTGCTCCACATCTGTACGGGCAAACATTCCATCGGCCAACACCTAATCCAACCGCACTTGCTGAAATGGCAACGAGAGTGGAAATGGGAAGGGAAGGAGTTACCCCTTAGGCCATATGCATAACCGCCTTCACATCTGTACAGACAAACATTCCATCGGCCAACACGTGGTTCAGCCGCGCTTGCTGAAAGCCGGGGGAGAGGAACCCAAGGCGTAAAGCATCAGAACTGGACATAAGAACATGGAAAGAAGGATTTCAGGTTTGGTATTTGGGCATAGTAATCTGGACATTAATACATGCATGCATGCGAACGTCAAGTACCTCTCCCCCTGTGATTGGATGACAGATGGCGCTTGGGAAAAATAATATGGACATTGATATGTGCATGCATGCATGCGACTATGTGGGCATTCGGGCCCTCCCTTCGAACGTCAACTACCTCTCCTCCAGTGATTGGATGACATCTGGTGCTTCTCTGCCCGCCAGAAACGCCTCCATGTCAGCAACGAATTGCGCCACGGAAATGCCACGTCGATATTTGCGGCGGAATCCGCGGCGGGCTTATCTCCATTACTCGCGAACTCGCGACTTGGGTAATGACTCGTCTAAGAGCTGACTCGCTGTAGAGCAGCGGATCCTTGTCCCGCTATCGAATCCACGCTAAGAACTGCCACGACCTTTTGTTGTTAGACGTTCAAGGGTATCAAGAGTTAGTAGTGTCATGAAATCAGTGTCGACGCGCATCAACTTAGTGGGGTGTGTGGAACAAAAACAATTGGAAGATTCGTCACCGTGATGTGCCGTGGTATGCCAGGGAAAGAGAAAGTCACGAAACCCGCTAAACAGAAACTCGCTATGAGCCCAAAAATCATTAAGTAAAATCTAGTAAATGCCAGATACCCTGTACGAAATTATCTTCAAGGGAAATATAGGTCGCATCAAATTTGTAATATGTATCATTAATCTAGACCCCTTGAATTTCACTTCCTTCCTATCACCCCATGAATGACAAGGAGGATTGGGTTGCCATGGAAACGCATTATGTTTTGAGAAACCATTGGTAAGATTCACATGCGAACTCAAGTTGTGCTACTCAGCAGCAGCAATGAGTATACTAAAGGTGTTATAGCAAGTACCAATAATAACAGGCCAACAACCTGCTTGGATGCTTCTGGAGTAAAAGAATTTACCAATGATGACGCATCAATCACAATTCCTCGTGTAGTTTGCCGCTGCCCGTGCTGCCCATAGCCCCAAAAGTCTTCCGAACCACTTCCTTCTGGTCCTCTGTTAGCGACTTAGGAAAGTCTACAGTGAACTGCACGTATAAGTCTCCCTTTTTGGTGGTGTCATAAATCGGCATGCCCTCGCCCTTTATTTTCCGCACCTCCCCTGGCCGCGTGACGCCCTGTAAGGGAGGTGGTTATCAAGGTAGTTGATGGAGGGATGGAGTGACGAGGTGGAGTGAGGGAGTGATTGAGTGGAGTGACTGAGTGGAGTGAGGGAGTGATTGAGTGGAGTGAGGGAGTGACGGAGTGGAGTGAGGGAGTGAGGGAGTTGAATGAGGGAGTGAAGGAGTGGAGTGAGGGAATGATGGAGCGATGGAGTGAGAAAGAGGCGACGAATATGAGGAACTGCGTAGTTTCTGAAAAAAAATACAACCCACTTGACTTCCCCTGTCCCGACCCTTAACACTGTCAGACACTCTTATGATGGTAAGAGGTGAGTGACAGAATGATGGAATGCAGGAGTGAGGGGTTGATAGGGTGAGGGAGGGAGGGAGTGAGGGAGTGAGTAACAGACATTCCTCCAATGATAACACTCACAGAGGTGCCGACTTCAAAGAGGTGGTTGTCGAGGTGAGTGATGGAATGCTTGAAGCCCACAAGAGCATCCACCTGCCGACATGAAATGGAGCAAAAGCCAATACACGGATGGGCGCAGGAGAAGTGAGCATGTGGAAGTGGAAGTGATGGCGCAAGGCAATACATGGATGGGAGCGAGGGGTGGTGGGAGGTGGGTGATGGAGTGCTTAACCCACGAGAGCATCCTCCTGAAGAACAGGCATGGATGGGAGCAAAAGGCAGTACATGGATGGGAGCAAGAAATGAAAGCATGTGGGAGTGGATGGGCACAAGGCAGTAACCGGAGTGTTTGAAAGCCACTAAGGCATCCACCTGCTGGCATGGGATCAAACGACGCATTTGGGGCTATGTGATGGCACAGTGGAGCAAGTAGGAGCATGTGGGTGGGTGCACATGGGGAGAGTAGGAGCATGACTCCGTCGGAGTAGGAGAAGCATTGGTTCGAGAGCAAACAGGTAAGAAGGCCGGGCTGTACCGTCAGATAGATGTGCAGAAAAACTCTTACTATATGAAATGAAATAGACTTAGAGCAGACACTTTCCATGGCTAACGGAGCAGGTGCTGCTTATGGCATGATGTGGTGCGAGGTTCAAGCAAACACGTGTAAGAGCGATAGTGACATAGCCAGGAAGAAAAAGCGGTGTGAAGTTGTACAAAAGAGATGGTGAAGTTGCAGCAGACGAGCAAGAAGGATGGTGCGGGTGAGGTTCGTTCAAGTAGCAACGTACGAGAAACATGGTGAAATCTTAAGAACAAAGAAGTGTGACAACGTACGAGAGAGATGGTGAAATTTCAAGAACAACAACGAGTGCGAAAACGTACGAGGGAGATGGTGAGGTTCATGTGGAGGTCGTCCCCTCTTCGCTCAAACAGCTTGTGCGGGCGCGTCTTGATCATCAACTGCAAGGCATGGTGGGACACAAGGCATGGCACACAAGGCATGACGACATGTATTAGAAGTTGAGCAAGTGCTGCTCGCACTGCCGCTTATTGAGTCTACACGGGTTGACACTTTTGGAGGTGGGAAATGAAGGGGTGGGAGGAACCAGATGAGGGAGGGGGTGAGGGGGGGACACATGAGGAGGAGGATTGGGAGGTGGAGGAGATAGGGAGGAGGGGAGGCCTCTACTGATAGATATAATGTGTGCATGGGGTTTAGAAAGACAGGAATTGTGAAAAAATCAGAAAGTAAGACGAAACGGCTGGAAAAAATCTGGTGGGGAATAAACAGGAAGAGCAGGGAGAAAGTGTGTGCATGTGTGGGCATTTCGGATGGGTGAGTGGGTGTGAGAGAGAGGAGGGACGAGGTCGAGAGGGAGAAAGCTTTGGCATGGGAGAAGGCACACCTTGAGGTCACCAGGGTCACCATCCATAACGGGCTCTCCCTCCTCATAGAAGGTGATTTCCTGTACGCATGCACACAGGCAGATGCACATACGGGGGGAGGATGCATGATGAGACAAGAGTGAGGTACGATGAACGGGTCGCCATCCCCAACAGGCCTGACCTCCTCGTACAAGGTGATCTCCTGCACACAGTGAGAGATGTTGCAGCAGCACGGACACACAGGGGGAGGGAGGGAGGTATACACGGGACAGTGAGTGATGGGTGGGTGGGGTGCCATCCATAATAGGCTCTCCCTCCTCGTAAAAGGTGATCTCCTGCACACACACAGATGCACATACAGGGGAAGGATAAAGGGGGCAGTGGTGGGTGGATAGGTCACCACCATTCATGACGGGCTCTCCCTCCTCGTAAAAGGTGATCTCCTGCACACACACAGATATTACAGCAGCACACACACACAGGGGAGGACAAATGATGGGACAGTAGTGAGGTGCGATGGGTGTGTTGGGCGCCATTTGTAATCACGGGGTCACCATCCATCACAGGCGCTCCCTCCTTGTAGAAGGTGATCTCCTGCATGCAAAGAGATGGTAATGGCAAGCACATATGGGGAGAGCGTGATGTACGATACAAAGGAACACGCACCGAGTGTAAACGTCACGTCAAGATATGGCTGATTTTCCGATGACGTAAGATATAAGGTTTGGGAATTATTTCACCTGCCCATGCCCATCATCTCACCTGCCCATCCTTCATGCCCTTCTCGATGTCCACATCGATAGGCATGCCCTCGCGCTCATACTTGACGTTCGGGCACTCCTGGCATTCCTGCAGGCACATAAGGTATGGCGCACGAAACAAGGAAAGAGGTATGAGTATACAACTGATGTCAATGTCAATGGGAATGCCGGTGTGAATTCCTCCTGTGTGAATTCCCCCAGTGTAAATTCCTCCGTTGTGTATCCCGACGGTGTGAATTCCTCCAACTCACCCACTGTATGCAACCGCCCACCCACGTTCCGCAAGCTTCCACCTACCCCCTACCCACCCACCTTAACCACGCCTTGCAGTTGCAGTTGCACTTGCAATGATGCGCTTGTCCTACACGTCCGCCCAGCTCGACTCTTTACACATCCGCCCAGCTCGACTCTTTACACATCCGCCCAGCTCGACTATTTACACATCCGCCCAGCTCGACTCTTTACACATCCGCCCAGCTCGACTCTTTACCCATCCGCCCAGCTCGACTCTTTACCCACCCGCCCACGCTCTGCCCTGTTGTCCTACCTGCTGGGTGAACTGCTGGAACATGCCCGGGGCGATCTGCCTCGTCACCATACGCGCCTTGCAGTTGCACTTGCGCTTGCCGGGTGCTGATCGCACCACGTTCTTGTCGCGCCACACCTGTGAGAAAACGGATGGACCGGAACCCGAGGGAAGAAAAGGCAGAAAGGATGGGAGTATGAACGCTCGATTAGATTCAGCTCCATCATCGCTGCTGGGAAACCAGGGGCGCAGCGTGCTCTATTTTGCCCCTTCAGAGGCGCCCTAGAACGAGAACATTCTTTTCTAGTGGGACCCACCTGGAACGACCTGTCGCTGTAAAGGTCTTTTAGCAACGCCTCGAGCTCCACACCTGGTGGAACGAGCAAACATTTTAGTCTACCTGGTACACCAGGTGTGGAGCGAACACTCCAGCCAGTCTATTCCAGTGAAAACCAGCTGGAACGAACTGGAACATAATACAGGCCTTCAAACGACACCGCCAGGTCCACTGTAACTGCATCAACCTTGGGAGTTTCCGGGTTCATAGCAAAACGTCAAACGCCCACATTCTTATCCAACCCACCTGGAACGGCCTGCCGTTGTACAGGTCTTCTAACAACGACTCCAAATCCACACAACCACACTGATCCTCCAGGCATCTTCATACGCGCCATACAACGCACAATCTAATCCAACCCACCTGGAACGACCTGCAGTTGTACAGGTCTTCCAGCGATGCTTCCAGGTCCATTGTGACTGCATCTCCATTCAAAGTCTCCAGATTCATAATAAACCAAGTCACATCCCACCCACCTGGAACAGCGGATACTCTAGTGGAACCCACCTGGAACGACCTGCCGTTGTACAGGTCCTCTAGCGACGCCTCCAGGTCCACTGTGACTGTGTCTCCCTTTGGAGTCTGCTCTTCCTCCTCCTGCTGCTGCCCAAAACCTCCGAACCCGCCAAAGAATCTGCCATGGGAAAGGAATGGCACAAGGAGCATTTCACAGAGCAGAGCTTTGAGACAAGATGCCTGCATAAAAACGCCTCTTAAAGCATCGAGCTCTTCCCTTGCAAAAACTCCCTTCCATGCCGGAGTGCACGTACTGCGAGAAGATGGCCTGATCAAAGCCCCCTAGTCCTCCGGCCTGCTCCTCATGTATGCATAGCAACACCTCCCTTCCAGAACACAAAAGCATCGATCTTCCCTGGGCCTGGCAACATTTTCTTCCAAGAAAAGCATCTCTCGTTGAACGTACTGTGAGAAGATGTCCTGGCCACCCCCTGCGGCTTGCTGAGCGCTGTGCTGCTTCACGCCCTCCTCGCCGTGCTGGTCGTAGATGCGCCGCTTCTCACCGTCTGAGAGAACCTCGTACGCTGCAGCATGGGTAAGGGTGGGAAAAAATGGGAGGGAAGACGGGAGTTCAGGTGTGGGGAATGAAGGGATTTGCTGTGCTGCTTCACGCCCTCCTCGCCGTGCTGGTCGTAGATGCGCCGCTTCTCGCCATCCGAGAGAACCTCGTACGCTGGAGAATGATGGAGATGATGAGATATGTTGGGAGCAGACAGGCATGCAGGAAAGCGAGATGGGCAATTGGAGTTAAGCACAGGGAGCGAAGGGAGGCGCTGCCCCCGCTGTGCTGCCGCACGCCCTTTTTACCGTGGTGGTCTGGTCATCGAGCCTCCGCTTCTCGCCGTCTGGGGGGGCCTTGTACGCTATGGGAGTCAATGTATGGGAGTCAATGTATGGGAGTCAATGTATGGGAGTCGATGTATGGGAGTCAATGTATGAGAGTCGATGTACACAAACGTTATTCATTACCTTGGTGGCTCTCCAAAGACTCGTACTGGGCACGTGAGTGAGTGGGTGGAATGGCGAGCGCATAAAAGGGGTTAGAGAGGGAGTGGTTGTCTTGGAAAGATGTGACATTGGCGCAGCCAGGCGTGCTGACCTTATGTCAGCGAACTGGAGTTCCAACGGGTGATGGGAGAGGGAGAGCTTGCATGAGCAACAGAGGTGAAAAAATTACATTGTCAGCTCAGAGGACTCGATGTTTATGAAGACTTTGAAGTCGACTAGGACGTCTCACCGTTGCCTATCTCCTGGAACCGCTTCTTGGCTTCCTCGTCTCCTGGGTTCTTGTCCGGATGGAACTTGAGCGCTAGCTTGCGGTACGAGCGTTTGATCTGATCCTCGCTGGCCGATCGCGGCACCTGCACGGGATTCAGGGGGGCAATTACAAAGGGATTGTCATGCCCTCATCGTCGTTGTCAGCATGACAAAATTTGTCACACAATTACCGGCTCCCCACCTATCTGTTTGTTCAACGATTTCGGCAAGCAGAATCAGCTTCGACGAGTAAATGATCATTTAGAAATACTGTGGATTTAGAAGCTGATACACCGCCTTCGATCGCAGTGGCATTCGTGTAGCCTAGCTGTTAGAACAATGGAACTACACGCAACCAGCGCACAAGACACCACCTTTGCAGTTTTCGTGAAGCTCACCTGGAGAATATCATAGTAATTGCGACTGCGCCGTCCAGTTCATTGGAGCATCGATCGCGAGATTGGCAACCAAGCGTATCACAATCCACAGGAAGAAACACAAATTGTCGAATAAGAAAACGCGCGATGGCGCATGGAGGAGACATATAAGGATGGCACGCCAGGAATTCCGCAAATATAAAAATAAGACAAAATTGGCTTTAGCATTGGGGTCTTCGTAATGATCGCATGTGCATTGATGGTAGAGAAAATTAGCAACAGAAGTAGAGCGATCGGCCACCAATGATACGTTTGAGCTGACAGCGCGTGACGAATGATAGTGGCACACACCTTGCACAACAGCATTGAAGAGCCAGGAGCAAGCAACCTGCTAGCAGCAGCAATGATCCTCGAAACGAGGCCATCGCGACTGAACGGCGACAGCGGAAACAGAAGGCCTGGACCCGACACCTGATTTTCCTAAGCTACTGCTGTCACAGTCCCGCTGTTTCACAAGCTGTTTCTGCCAAATCGCTTAAAATGTCAGGCCTTGCTTGTGCTGATCGTGCTGGTCGAAATATATACCCCTATCTGCCAGGACGCCAATCAGCCTACAATGAACCTAGAAGGCCAACGGGCGAGACCAAGCTGTAGTTGCACCACACAGTATACGCAGGCGTGGTGTGTGATGCTGTTGTGATTACTTGCTCAGATCCAAGGATAGAGAGTCAGTGAGATTTGTTGCCGAGATCGGAGCTTGGAAGTGAATTCCAAGAGGTCATTTGGCAGGGGAACAGAAAATTCCCGCGTTTTTTCAGTTCATGTACCACGATTTGATCCGGTGTAATGTGGTGCAAGAAATGCAATTGTTGTAACCGCGTTGTACCGCGTCAAAACTTACTCAATCGAACTGACCGATCAGCGGAGCAAAATCAGAGGCGGTGACTGCTGTGTGGTGTCGAGTGGTGTGGAGTTGCCAAGAGAAACAGCTGCTTCTGGACGACAGTGAGCTTCTAGAGATTCGCGTGGCAGCACCACGTTGATTGGTTGATGCTTAGAATTGTGGTCTGCTATTGGTTGACACTGTCGGTAGTCGCAATTGTGATTAGACTGTGTAACAATGGTTCGATGTCGCGCGTGACTCATGGTTACACCTTCGTTTGATGTTTATCAGTAAGGAGTGGGGTTTGTGCATTTGTAAAGAAAAATCATTTTCCTTACTTCGCGCCCCTGCTTACCGCGTACACGACCATTCCCGCCACCAGCACCCAACATTGAAACGTTGTTAGTGAGGACCTTGGATAGGATAGGAGGTACTTTAGTAGAGTTGGTAGCGGAAGTCTTGTAAGAACTCAGATCATAGTGAATGTAAATGACCAAGTTGATTAAACAATAGAATACTAGGAATATAAATAGTCCTAGTCTAGCCATGTACTATGAGGGGTAAATTCCCTTATTATAACTGTTTTACAGGCATTTCTACAGTGACTCTGACTGTTGTACTTCCTTCTTGTTACCGAGTCGCTGCATGTAACCTGTACGGTTACGCCTGTTGCTTTTCCTCGATGGCAAGTCAAGCGTCGGTCCAGATGGTCAACAGTTGCGACAGTTGACTCTTGCGATTGTTGACCTTCCTGCCCTTGATACGGGCTGATCCGATACTGCGGTTGTTGCTGCTTCGACAAAGTCAGGTGCGATACTGCTGCACCTACGGGAATGCTAAGTATAATTCCCTTTACACTCCATCACTCCCCTTCATTCCTGGAGGTGCGCCAGGTGGCTTTTGCGAGTCACTCCGCACAGGTTCGAGCAGTACTGAAACTTCTGACGTGGCAGTTTCTTCGTGAGGAAGTCAGCTGCCATTTCGCCAGTAGCTAAGCTGAACTTTCCCTTTGTCGATTTCGTCCTTCACGAAGAAAAAACGCAGGGCGATGTGTTTCGTGCGGTTGACGAAGCCTGGCTTGTTTGCGATTTTGATCGCGCTCTGGTTGTCGCAGAGTAACTTAAAGGATCCGTTCATCGCCGTTTTCGTTTCCTGCAGAAGCTCCGTGAGATAAAGTCCTTCGCGAACTGCTGCGCTTGCTGCGATGAATTCTGCTTCTGCTGACGAGAGGGCGATGAGTTCCTGTTTGTTGGAGTTCCAGGATGTTGAGATAATATCGAGACTTGTGCACTTCAAGGAATTCGTGTAGTGTAGTTAGTACAGTAAAAGTATCGATAGGCTGACGTCAGCAAAGCGCTACGCGCTCTAGGATGACGTCAGCAGTAGCTGTAGGTATCGCGAATAGTCACGTACCGTTTCAGGCTAATAGGTACATTAAGCGAATAGGTACTTTATCCTAGTATATATTCTGTATGTTTGTCATTTCTTAATATACTTGATTTCAGAGATATTGATCCTGTTACAAGTCACTCATATAAGACTTCCACTGCTACAGGAAGCTACTATCCTAAGACTACGATCCTATTCAGACAGCTTAAATGCTAACATGGTATGAGAGCAACTTAGGATTATAACAGCTTCCACCTGCCTACTCTACAACTATGTCTGGATCTCCAAGGTCCAACAATGGCTCTTCTGTTACGAGCCCAACACGCCCAACAGCGTCTCCAGCTGCTGATAATTCACATCTGCAGCAACAACAACAACAATATCAGCAACAACCGATGTACGGCATGCCATTGAGCAATCAGCCCGTACACGCAACTACAGCAGCGGCATCATCGGCAGCAGCCGCAGCGATAGCAGCATCAGCAGCCACAACAGCTGCAGCTGCAGTCACTGGTTCTTCTAGTCAACCGGGACAACAGTCCAACTTCGTACCGACTGGACCTTACCAATATCAAGGTGCTTACCAGCCAGCAAATCTTCAACAACGTGTTAATGCTGCCATCTGAGAAAATAGTAGGAAGGAGATCAAGTTTAACTAGGGCCTAGGCTTAGGAGCCTAGGCCCAACTAGGATGTCGAGTAGTTTGTGCCTAGGGTGAGAGGCGAGAAAGTTGGAAAGGATGGTTTCACTATAGGTTTCGAAGAACATATAGCAAAGGAAACAAATAAGGTGCACCACCAAACAAAGTTTATAATAACTACACTAACTACAGCTACAGGCAGTTACAAATATAAGTTCTGACACTCCCCCATAACTGCCTGCATCAGGAGTTTGTGCAGAATACAACCTGCAGGGGTACACATGCAAAATAATAAACAAGCAACAGCAGGTACTGCAGGCGGGCTAACACTAGCTGGTCACCCCCTCCATCTCCTCACCCTCCTCCTTCCCTTCCCCCACACTGCTGCAGGAGCAGCAGAGAGGGGGGGGAAGAGAGGAGAGGTGGAGGGACGGCTGCTGGTTGCCTCACACCCGCCACCCCGGTGCCACTCCCCCGTCTCCCCCACACCCTCACACCCTCCCCCCCAGCGGCAGCTGCAGCAGTGGGAACGAAAGGAGGAGGAGGGGAAGGGAAGGATACGACCCAACGCTCCAACACCCGCCACCCCCATACCCTCCCCCCCACGGCTGCAGGGAGACAAAGGAGGAGGGGGTGGGCGGGAAGAAAGCCGCAGAGCGGCTACAATGTGTCGGCGCAGGTAGGTCAGGGGCGGCTGCAGTGAGAGCAGGTGCGGAGAGGCGCGTCGTGTGCCACGGGGCGCACGACAGGTAAGTTTAAGGTAAGGGCACCGTCGTGTGCCTCGGGGCGCACGACGAGCAGGGCACCGTCGCGTGCCACGGGGCGCACGACGGGCAGGTTTAGGGCACCGTCGCGTGCCACGGGGCGCGCGACGGGCAGAGTAGGAGTCACTCGCCAACCGGGGGCGGGACAATAGAAAATCGCCACGCGCCCTAGGCGCGCGACCGGAAAAACGTAGCAGCGGAAGCATGAGGCGGGCCCACAGGCCAGGACGTAACTCGCTCTGATAGCATGAGAAAATAGTAGGAAGGAGATCAAGTTTAACTAGGGCCTAGGCTTAGGAGCCTAGGCCCAACTAGGATGTCGAGTAGTTTGTGCCTAGGGTGAGAGGCGAGAAAGTTGGAAAGGATGGTTTCACTATAGGTTTCGAAGAACATATAGCAAAGGAAACAAATAAGGTGCACCACCAAACAAAGTTTATAATAACTACACTAACTACAGCTACAGGCAGTTACAAATATAAGTTCTGACACCATCTTGTCGCTTAACCAGATGTTTCCAACTCCTATGAGCATTGATGGCTCCAGTTATCAGCGTGGTCAGATGCCACAAGGAAGTGACGGGTCGAACAACTCCTTCTCTTTTGGTCCTGCTGGACAAGGACAACAAACACAACAAGGGTCACAGGTGCCATCACTTTATCAGTTACAATCAGCTGACGGTACCGGAAATTATATTCCTGCTTCTGCAAATCCAACAAAAATTAAAACGACAACGCCTTTTAACGGTCAAGACTTTTATACCTGGAGCTTTGAGTTTGAGCTTCTTGTTCAGACCGCGGGGTTATGGCAGCTGTATGACGGCACAGCACCTTTTCCATCTCACGGGTCACCACTTCAACAAGCCACTTTTCGATCGGCGTCGCTGACTGCATACACAGTTCTTGTTCGTAATCTGACACCGACTGAACAGCTCGGAATTCGTTCTTTTCGTACCAGTGCCGCTCCTGCTGAAGCAGCTTGGTTGTACCTGCAAGGGGTTCACATGGCAAAGGACACTGTCAACCAGAGTAAAATTTTGACACAGCTGTCAAATATACAGTGTCAGATTTATATGACTTAGCTGCTGTAGGCTATAGTGGGGTAGCACATATGGGGTACAGCTTTCTAGGGTTTGTACTTGTACCCAACTTTCCCTTAGTCATTTCATTCCTCGTTCATTCTCACATGGTATAGAGCAGGTTCCCCTGTGGGAACTGTTCCTAGGGCCCACCATTTTTTTTTTTTTTTCTCCTGCCCGGAGCGCGCTCAGCCTCTGCCCGAGTCGCGCTCCCCTCTCACGGCCCCGTCGCGCCGCCCTTACGACCCCGTCGCGCCGCCTCAGCGGCCCCGTCGCGTCGCGCCTTCCTAGCGGCCCCGTCGCGTCGCCCTTGCGACCCCGTCGCGCCGCCCTCGCGGTCCCGTCGCGTCGCGCCGCCCTCGCGGCCCTTTCGCGCCGCCCTCGCGGCCTCCTCGAGCCGCCCTCGCGACCCCTCCACGCCGCCCTCGCGGCCCCGTCGCCTACCCTTGCGGCCCCGGCGCCACCCTTCCCGGCCCCGGCACCGCCCTTCTCGGCCCCGGCGCCGCCCTTCCCCGCCCCGGCGCCGCCTCTGCTGGCCCCGTCGCCCCACCCTTGCGACCCCGCGGCCCCACCCTTAAGGCGCCGGTCGCCACCCTTCGTGGCCCCGCCGCCGCCCTCAGCGGCCTCGTCGCCGCCCCACCCGGCCCCGCCGCCGTCCCCACGCGGCCCCGCCG